TTTAGACGTCGTTTGCAAGAGTGCCGTGATCGCAACGGATTACATTTAGGAGATGTTATTTTCAAAAAATAATTCCCGTTTTTTAAGCTTTTTATGTAAATAAAAATTTAATTCATAATGTAATTAGTTTTATTTTAATAAAAAATTTTTCATATCAAAGGACTTATGGGCCACCCTGTATTTATGTATTAAACTAACACACTGTAAAAGTAATAAATGTTATTTGCAATAGATATTTTGTTTATTTTTAATTGTAACAGTATTTATGGCCAGACTAAGTATATATATACCTATATATAAATGATTTTGTCACAGAGTTGAGGTTCTTTTTTATAGTGGGTATTCTTACGTTGTTATGTGGTATTATTGTTTTCGCTTTGAAGGGCCGGCTTGGTTTTGGAGTTTAGTTTTCGTTTTTTTATTATAAGTTTTTTTTAATTTTATATATATATATATATATGGGTCATACACAAATAGAGAATAAAAAAGTGCAGCAAAAAAAATATCTCAGAATCAGTGTGAAACAAACTATTTATTATTTAGCTATTGATTATCAATCTTTTAATCACTGTAACCGAGATCAATATGTCTTATTTTTGGCATAATCGCAATTTTTATATTTTTGCGGACCACAGAAGAGACGATTTAGTCTACAAGAGAGATGAAAAGCTGTGATGCAGCGTAAGCTAAAATATATTAAGACAACATAATCAAACACATGTAGCCACTGATATAAACGAATACCCAAACGCAAATAACATGTCAAAATAATCACATTAATTGGAAAATAAAAAATAAAATAATAATGTCTACAGAAAGGAAAATCCCTTCGGTGGACTTATGAAACAAAACAAAATTTCGAATGATAATAATTTTACAGCCATGGTATATTACTCGTATATAATTCTTTAGATAGCTAATGAATTTTAATATGCAATGTAATGAAATTTAAGGACTTTGATTATTTCAAAATATTTCCAGAGAACTATCAGAATCGTCTGAATCAGCATGAACTAAAACGAAGCAAGATATGGACCAACCCACGACCCAAGGGTTGAACCCCCTGAACGAAATCAATAGAAATAAAAAAAATGTTTTCGTTTCCTCTATTTACATTGATTAGATTTATAATTTTTTTTATTGCGAATATAAAATGTACTAAAAAGTTTGAGGCTCTAACTTAGAATATCAAATGTTGCCAAAATCAAACCTCTTTCTAACCAACTTTAAAAAAGGAGTAGGCCCTCGGTTCAACTATTTTTCTACTAACTACTTTCTCTACTTAGACCTACTAAGGTATGTTTCTTACACATTTTCTGTGGACATAGTCTTTTCGGTGGACATCGGGACCACAGGAAAGATGTCCACAGAAAAGATGTATTATAAAAACTCTTGCGTAAAGAAATTAACTTTAAGGTTAGAAATCAAGCAACATGCTTTTCATTTACTTGTACTAAATGCTCATATAAAAACAATAAATATACATTTTTATAGATAATATTTACATGTCTATAATTGGAACAGGAAAGAACACTTGATCTTTTACGTTTATGTGTGTTTTGGAATAAAAAATATATTTTCACTCGCACTGGAATCGAAACAACAAAATATCAAACGCCGGAATGGCCACTATTTAGTGATGCCAACAGTTAAAAAAAAAAACTTAATGCGGTCGAATAAATTAAAATTTGATATCGTTTTATCGCGTCCACAGAAAAGACTTCATTTCATGTAACCATATGTTTATTGGATTTATTGTATACAGATAGTAACGATATATTTTTGTTATTCTCAATATTATCATCTTTATTATATTGTTTGTGTTACAAGTAAATAATTTTAATATATAGGGTACTTTAACTATTTTTAAACATGGTTCAAACATTATACCTTCGTCTTGTAACAGTCCACAGGAAGAGATTTTTTGATGTTTAACGCCATCAAAATGAAGTTATGAAATGTAATATTTTACAAGATACGATTAAAATGAGTAGTAATATAGTACCTTTACGATTTAAATACTTTCAAATATTCGCCAATTTGCTCTTTTAGATGATACATTGCTATAACACTTTTTTTACCCTTTTTGTGTATGACCCATATATATATAAATTTATTGTATTCTTAATAATTTAAACAAATTATTATATATATATATACATCCTAGGACACTTTTTATTATAGTAAATTAAATGATCCGGTCAACGCCGCGTGTACTACGCTCTACTGCAATCAATAGAACATTGTGTTCGATGGCTTGCGATTTCATGTTCCAAAGCATCTACAAATCAACTGGTAATTAACGAACGAGACTGTGATAAAAGTAACTGTTTATCCCGGGAAAGTGTAACTTGTTTATTTCAATCCGAATAATGGTTTTTCAAAGAACTCGCGGGATACGTCTGCTGTTATATAAATTGAGATTATTTTATGTCGGTGTGTGTGTGATAACATGCTTTGATGTGTTTCGAAGAACTCTTTTTTAATTAAATTGTAATATTTTTAATAATAAAAACAGATTACAAATACAAAATCAAATTAAAACAGATATGTTATCTGTCTATCAAGTAATAGTTTCAAGGTATCTCACGCACTCGTGGTGTTAATGAACAGATGATTTTGTTGTTTTTTATTGCTTAGACTAATGACAGGAGATGAGCTCAGCCATTCGTGAACTTGAGTTATGAAGTCGTCGTGGCCTAACGGATAAGACGTTCGGTGCATTCGTGTTGAGCGATGCACCGGTGTTCGAATTCAGGCGGGTACCAATTTTTCTAATGAATTACGTTCATCATCATCTTCTCAGCCTGTCTACTGTCCACTGCTGAACATAGGCCTCTCCAACTGATGTCCAGTGCGGCCGGTCCGTTGCCACCTGCATCCAACGTGACCCAGTAATTTTTACCAGGTCGTCGGTTCATCTGGTAGGTGGCCGTCCCACACTGCGTTTGCCAGTACGTGGTCTCCACTCGAGGATCTTTCTGCCCCATCGGCCGTCCGATCTTCGCGCTATGTGGCCTGCCCACTGCCACTTCAGCTTGCTAATCCTACGGGCTATGTCAGCAACTTTGGTTCTTCTACGGATCTCCTCATTTCTGATTCGATCTCGTAGAGAAATATCAAGCATAGCCCTCTCCATAGCTCGCTGCGCGACACTAAGCTTTCTCAAAAGATCCCTTGTGAAGCACCACGTCTCGGAACCGTAAGTCGTCACTGGCAACACGTATTAATTAATGAATTACGTACTCACCAAATATCCACGATTGACTTCAACGATGAAGGAATAACATCGTGTAATAAAAGTGAAACCCGCAAAATTATAATTTGCGTAATTACTGGTGGTAGGACCTCTTGTGAGTCTGCATGGGTAGGTACCACCACCCCGCCTATTTCTGTCGTGAAGCAGTAATGCGTTTCGGTTTGAAGGGTTGGGCAGCCGTTGTAACTATACTGAGATCTTAGAACTTATATCTCAAGGTGGGTGGCGCATTTACGTTGTAGATGTCCATGGGCTCCAGTAACCACTTAACACCAAGTGGGCTGTGAGCTCGTCCACCCATCTAAGCAATAAAAAAAGAAAAAAGTACATGGTCCACTAGAGATATCTGTGCCTTCCAGTGGGATTTGAATTTATACACATTTAGTGAAACACTAGCTTTTGCCCGCGACTTCGTCCGCGTGGAGTAGTTACTTTGGCATAACGCTAAATTTTACCCGCCTCTTCATTTACGTAGAAAGTGAAAATATTTTTGAATAATAGAATGTTAAGGAGCTATTTAAGATACCAAAATCACGCTTTTTAACCGACTTCAAAAGAGGAAGTTAACAATTCGACTTCTGCGAGTGCACCATCTCGCGGAAGGAGGCGGCGGAACGAGTGAGGCAAAGCTCTCCTCACTACGCAGAAATCCGCCGCCGCCGAGCAGAGGGTCGGGATTGGGGTCCCATCTGTGACGCGGCCCCCAAGAGCTTCGGGCTCCGCCCACTTTAGGCGGGAGGAACCCAGGCGTGGAGCGGTGTGCACCACTAACCAACATAGAGAATATGGAGGTCACTGAGGCCTCCCCCTGCCCAAACTACGTCCACCAGCCCGCTATTATTTATTATTAGGAAATTCTAACGCTAATTTAAATAATCTGTCCGCCTGTTGGTCCTGTAGGTCGCTGCGACGCTCGCAGGCCCAACAGCCTGTCGGGTTCGCCGCATGGCTGCTCACGATGTGGGAGAAACTGTCCGAGGTGATCTCTGGAGTAATCCGAGAGATCGCTTTGGGTTCCAGCCCATTCGGGGCTATCCTGTCGGGCCTCTACCAGTTGATAGCGACGCTCAATGGCTAGCATGGAGCTTCGCATCATCTACTGGAACCCCGACAGGATAAAGTCCCGACAAAACGAACTGCTTGTTCTGGCCCAGAAGTACAACCCGCAGGTTGTGCTCCTGGGTAAGACCAAGCTACGTTGACATTCAGGATTCCAAACTACTTCATGTACCGACGTGACGAACTGACACCTGAGGGGCGCCCGTTTAGGAACACTACGACGCTCATCAGGAGGGACGTGATGGATTTTTTTGTTTTTTATTTTCTAAATGTTTTTCTTCCTGGTCTCCTATGAATACATTTTTTAAAGTTTATTAGATCTGACTTTGTGTTGCTTGGATGAGCTTTCTGTCTGAAAATACGGGTATGCTGTCGCCGAGAACAAGCGAATACTGTGTAATGACAAAATTTTTCACTCACACATGAATCAGTTGAACTTAAATGAAATGGATGCAGACGAGATAAGAGTGTCTTTTATTTCGTCAAGTGTTTTAAAAATCCCACTCTGAATGAAAATGAGAGGCAAGGTGTTAAAACGTATTATGTGTGATTAAAAATATTAAATTATGCAGATAAGCGCAACGACACACACACACACACACACACACGTCGAATATCACTAGTCGCTATGTATAGATAGTCGCGGTTTCGTATCGTTACAGCTCAGTATAAAAGAGGATGCATTGGATCACAGAGCTATAGTTATTGGAAAGCTGTAGTCTGAAAAATATCACGAAGATGGCCGCCAAACAATACTTTATCGTGTTCCTGATTGTCGCCCTGATGGCTCTCGAGGCCAGCACTACCGAATATGGTACGTGTGTTTTTATCTAACCTATGTTTCGTTTTCCATTTAAAATAATCACCGAACCTATCTTATTTTACTTCCGCCAAATACAATACAATATAATGGTTACAAGTATGGGAGCCATAATATAGTGATTGGTACGGAATTAAGAGGGTGGTTGTTTTGAGGTCAGTGTGCAAGTTGCGCGGTAAAGACCCCGTTTTTTATTAGGACCCCTTCGACTTCATATTTCAAGGTAATGACAGCGTTCATGTCTGCCAAGAAGCCCTTTACAGTGAGAGAGCGGTGAGTTCGTCTGCCCATCTTAGTTGATTCAGCGTTACGATCTACTAAAGACGCCTTTGTTGATACGACCGACGACATCGACGTGGTGAGGTCGGTTGGACCGCCGCCGCAACTTGTTACGAGAAGTATCGTGCGCCGAAGAACAATGTATATTCTAAACTAATTCAGACCGTTTCTTGGGTATTGCAGGATGCCCTGAAAATGCCCATTGGACTGATGACCCCTGCGTGAGGACCTGCGACGACCCGTACCTGACTAACACCGCTTGCGTCGGCGCCCTCATTCAAACCTGCCACTGTAACGACGGCTTAGTCTTCAACGCGGACAGAAAATGTGTGCCCATTTCTGATTGTTAAAATGTCATAACGATTTATAATCTTATTCGTGATTTTATTAAATGTTCAAATTGATGTCTTTACTTTTTCTTTCTAAAATTCAATTTATCAAATCATCAACTTAACTACAAAAATCAATAATGTTTTGTTCTATTTGATGGTTTAAAGCAAAATTCATCCTAAGATAGAAAGAAGCTCGTAAAAAATTTCGCACCGAATTTGAAAGTTTAAAGATTATGTTAGAATCAGATATTTACTACCTATTGCTCAAAGTACGAAACAGTAGGTACATTATTAAGTTTTATTATAGACTAAACGATAAAAAACATTGTAGAAGGATGGCTTGTAGACCTTGTCGTTTATCATACCCGATCCGGCGGACCGAATGGGTAGCAAATAAATCCTACAAAAATTCAGGTCACTATTATGAATAGTGTTACAAAACTACCCGTAAAGCCGAAAGGTTATTAAATGGGTCCTTATTATATCCCTTCACAAATTTTTTCCCCCTACCTATGCTGATAGCCTTGAGAGGCTATATCAGCTTCTCCTTGACGTGTAGGTGAGCTCAAGGGCTCTAACCGGGAGTGTAGCACTGGCCCTAACAAGAGCAGTGCTAAGCAGAATCTACCACCGGATCGGAATCGTGACTCTCTGAAAAGAACCAGCGAGAAACTCAGTGGACTGTGTCTAAGGGTTAATTCACTCGTCGAGCTAGTGGTCGCAAGTGGTGCCTTGTGGTACCTCAAAACACCGTTAATGGATCGGGAGGATTCGTAATGATCTGTTTAGGGCAACGTCGACTGTTTGCCATTCAGTCTACAGGAAAGGGTATGTAATTCCTGGTGGCCACGACAAGACGGTTTTCATGTCGTGCCGCCTTTTCAAAATGGCGCAGCGATGTCGACTGTAGATACTTACTGACTGAGTCAAGTGGAGATCCACGTTCGTTATGAATCATGGTGCTCTGACGGCTATCCTGCAAAAACGGGATTGAATAACTTGAAGGGGTTTCAAGTTGGTGCGGGCCGCGTGAGCGAACACTACGCTTGCATACGACATGACGGGGCGTAATTCTTTTTTTTTTCGGGCCGAGGCCGACCCTCCTACGGGGTCCCCGCGCCTAGGGGGTGCAAGGGGTATGTGGGACTCGACGATCTGCAAGGTGTTGGGAGCAGACCGCGGGCCCAAGGAATTTTAGAGCCCTACCCGCTAAACGACTCCCCTGTACTTTTACACCCGACGTCCGATCTCCGTCCGGGGTCAGAACCCGGTCAGAGTAAGGGGGTTCCCGCGGTCAACACTATAACCAGACACGCGACGCCACCTCGAGGACGCCCAACTGACAGGTCGTCGACGACCAACGACGCCGGTCTTCGCGGTACGGCGGCCCTACCAGGCCACCCGGGCAATGCCGCGGGTGATTCGTAATAGCCCGCTGGGTCAGAACCAGCCTGCCAGGTCGGAACGCGATACACCACCGACCGGGTTGCTCTTCCGCAGTCTGTTCGGTGACAACAGTGACGACGACAACGCGGACCGCTTTGCAGGCCGCAGCTGCCGACGCGGCGTCCCATCCTTCTGGTGCCAGCGTGCTAGAGTTATGGTAGCACGTTACCATCGCTCAACCCCTTCAGGTCGCACCGGGAGGAGACTGCCTCCTCACAGGGGCTGGAGCTGGACGAATGCCCTCCTCCAACCCCCAGCACGGCGGCGGCACGGCGCCGAGAGGGAAGAAGGGCTCTCCCTCCCCCATTTCGCCGCCTCCTTCTGCGAGATGGTGGACTCGCAGAAGTCGAGCATCGTAGCCACGACGTTCGCAAGCGACAAGTCCGGTCCTATTTTTGCAACGAGGACGCGGCGCTGCTCCGCGAAAGCAGTGTAGTACGCGAGCGTATGCTTCGCTGTGTTCTCGTTGCAGCCACTGCAGTGGTGGCACTTCGGCGTCGGCTCCCTCCGGGCGACGAGGTGCAGGTAGCGACCAAAACAGCCGTGTCCCGTGAGCACTCTAAAGGTGAGACGTCCTTGGTCGCGATTCGCCTAGTCCGAGAGGAACGGGTGGATCGCCTTGACGGTCCGTCGCCCATAGGCGGGATCCGCCAGGCGGCGAGAACACGCCTCGAGCATGGCACGCCGAGATTGAAGCTTCTGCGCTCGAACTTCCGCCGCGTCGAGTTGCGGCTCCCCCTGGAGCAGAGATTGCATCGCTACGCGTAATCCGCAGCGAGCGCATCCGCTTCCAGGTCCCAAGGAGGCACCCCGGCGAACACGCACGCCGCTTCGAATGAGACGGTACGATACCCGCGAACCGCTCTGACCGCAATTGCGCACTGCGGACGTCGCAACGTTGCGACGTTGTCGCGGGTCAGGACGTGGCACCACACGAGAGCCCCGTACAGTAACATCAACCGCACCATCCCCGTGTAGAGTCGGCGCACCAGTCTGTAACTTCCGTAACTTCAAGCTTCTGCTGTTACTCTATTCGTGTTTATCCAGGATGCTTCTCGACCATATCATAGGTTAAATACTATCGTGAGGCAATCGAAAGTGGGATGATAATTTAAAAAAATCTTATTTCTTTTCTTCATATTTTTAATGACAAACGGCCGATAATTAGGTACTAAAATTAAGTTTTTGGGAAATAAAAATGATGAATTTTGGAAACGAAATACACAAGTCGGATTCACTTCAAATAGCTGCTGTTTTGTTTTGGACATTCAGCAACAGGCACACATTTCCTCGCGGAGTAGAAGAGGTAGCCATTATCACAGTGGCAGGTTGCGATGAAAGCCGTCACACAACTGGTGTGTTTCAATTCCGGGTCTGCACAGGTCGGCGCACAGGGGTCCATTGTCAAATGGGCATTCTCAGGACACGCTGTAAAATACGAGAAACAGATGCAATGCAATTTACATGGTCGCGCACGATCTCACATTGTCGACGTCGCCCTAAACACGTAATTACGGATCTTCCCGATACATTAACGGTGCTTTTAGGTACCTCAAGCACCAGTCACCGTCCGCGCCGAACCCGTCGCTTGCGACGAAGGGCTCGACTATTGAATTAACCCATAAACAGCCCACTGAGTTTCTCGCCGGATCTTCTCAGTGGGTCGCGTTTCCGATCTGGTAGTGGATTCTGCGAAGCACTGCTCTTGCTAAGGCCAGTGTTAACAACACTCCCGGCTTGAGCCCCGTGAGCTCAAACCGGGCCCCGTCAAAGAGAAGCTGAAATAGCCTCTCAAGACTATCAGCATAGGAAGGAAAAAAAAAGGTGAAGGCAGCCACCGTCTCGAGTTATAATGTTGGAGTCTCCATTTTATTATATATCTGGTGCTCTACCCCTCAAGCCTGGAACTCACGACTGCTTCACGGTAGAAATAGGCAGGGTAGTGGTACCTGCTCGTGTCTTTCACAATACTGCCCAACCACGAGTAGTCACCGAAATATTTAGTCTGCGGGTTCGATTTTTATGACAAGAATGTTTTTCATCGCGAAAGGCGCTCGTGAAGACGGTCTAATAATGATTAATATGTAGAAATTTGTGATTTCTCTCATGTATTAAACCTTTTTCTTCCGTCTCCACGCGTCATAGTAGACATAATTAAAAGCACTTTTACGGTTTAATCTCGGGTTTGTTATTTTCATTTTACAATTTGTGTGATCACGAAAACTACAGAATATTCGTAACGTCGAAAATTATAGAAATGTAAATAAAATTATTTATATTAGGTAGGTAACAAAAGCGAATACAAACCTTTTGAATTAAGTACCTAGAAGCATTGCATTCAATTTTAGCGCGTTTCCAATTCTTTTTTCTCTTATGTACCGTCAGACTATGGAATGAACTTACTCGCCACGATGTTTCTTGGGCGCTATGACATATCCTCCTTCAAACGAGGTTTGGGGAGAGTACTTGGCGGTAGGCGGTGGCTTGGCTGTGACCTTGGTATTGCTATCGTCTACGAGCAATGATAACCACCCACAGCTAGGTGAGATCGCCCCTACAAAGGCAATAAAAATATTAACCCCGTCATGACGTAAGCAAGCGTAGTGTTCGCTCGCGCGGCCCGCACCAACTTGAAACCCCTTCAGGTTATTCAATCCCTAAGACATTCTCTTCTCGAATTGACTATTTAGTATTTTCTTGTTGTGTTGTTGATTTCTTGTTAATCTAGGGTTTAAGATATTCATCAACTGCTTCTGCTGCACTACCATGACTCGTACTGACAAAATTAAATCACGTCAGACCGAGCCTTCGATGCGGATCGAAGGTTCTGACCGCGACGAGGGCGGCGCGTTGTTCGTCGAATCCAGAGCAACGCGCCAATGTATATTCCGCTGTGTCATCCTCGTCGGTTCCCTCCCGGCGATCTTGAGCAAGTACCGGCCGAAACATCCGTGGCCGGTAAGCATTTGTGTGAGCCGGAAGGTGAAGCATCTGCGGTCATTGCCCACCCAGTCCGCGAGAACCTGGCGGACTGCCTCAACGGTACGGAGGCTAAAACCACGCCCCATGCACGGACCGCCGAGAGTGGAGCCTCCGCGATCCAATCACTCCTTCGCCAGGGCGCCCTTTTCCTCCAGAGCGAAGGTCGCGCCACCTGTAGTAGGCAGCAGCGTCTCCGCCTCCAGGTCCCAGGGTGGCACCCCAGCGAGCTAAAGTGTACATATCCTAGGATAATTTTTATTATGGTAAGTTAAATGATCCGCGCAACGCCGCGTGTTTCTACCGCAACAAATACAACATTGTGTTCGATGTCTTGCGATTTCATGTTCCAAAGTATCTACAAATCAACTCGAATTTAATGACCGTGATAAAAGTAACTCTTTGTCCCGGGAAAGTGTAACTTGTCTATTTTAATCCGAATTACGAAATTTCAAAGAAATCGCAGGATACCGCTGCTGTGATATAAATTGAGATAATTCTATTTCCGTGTGTGTGTGATAACTTCCTTTGATGTGTTTCGAAGAACTCCTTTTAATTAAATTGGTTTTTTTTTTAATAATACAGAAACAGATTACAAATAACAAATCAAATTAAAACAGATATGTTATCTATATCTATATCTATACTAATATTATAAAGAGGAAAGATTTGTTTGTTTGTTTGCTTCGAATAGGCTCCGAAACTACTGGACCGATTTGAAAAATTATTTTTCCATTAGAAGCCGACATTGTCCCTGATGAAAATAGGCTACTTTTTTTAAAAAAAATTTTTGTTTTTTTTGTTTTTGTGTGTTTTAATGTTTCCGAAGCGAAGCGAGGGCGGGTCGCTAGTAATATTATAAAGCTGAAGAGTTCGTTTGTTTGTTTGGTCGAACGCGCTAATCTCAGGAACTACTGGTCCGATTTAAAAAATTATTTCAGTGTTAGATAGCCCATTTATTGAGGAAGCCTATAGGTTTTATAACTATAAGGCTATAGGCTATATAGCATCACGCTAAGGCTAATACAAGCGGAACACCAATACAGAATGTTTCCAAATCGGGTTTTTCTTCTTCTTCTTAGAGCTTCCGCTGCGTGCTCTGCGGAAACGATTAAAGTTTCGCTTAGATAATGTATGACAGAATTGTTCCCTCTTTAAAAGCTCTAAAAAAGTCCGTGCCAGCATATGTCTATATTTGAAGGTTGGCTCACTATAACCTTTTTTACGCTAACCAAATTTGTTTTTAAATAAAGCATTATAATTTGTGAAGATGTTTTTATAAAGATGATATTAATCCTTATCCAAATAAATACGTTATTCATTACAATTATTTAATTTAAAAGAAATTTGCCGTTTGCATCGTTTGATTTAGTAACATCTACAACGCTCGAAAACTACAACACCATCTATTGTCAGATAGCGGAAATACACCCCGAAAATACTCGACTTGTGAGGAATGTCCTCGACAATTCTAGGGATGTCGTATTGACTTTAAAAGCGTAGCAAACATGGCACGCAGTCAGTAATAAGAAGCAAAACAGCGAACGGATCACCTGAAGCGAAGCGGAAGAAGTTAATTGAAAATTTTAAAGTGTTCTGTGAGTGTTCTGAGTATTGAATACAGTTTTAATTTGTACTTTGGTGGTACTTTTATTTATCCCGAGCCCCAGCGCGTAACAGTATGTATTTTTTGTGTTTATTTTCTTTCTAAATGTTTTTCTTCCTGGTCCCCTATCAGTACATTTTTTGAAGTTCACTAGATCTGACTTTGTGTTGCTTGGATGAGCTTTATGTCTGAAGTTACGGGTATGCCGAGAACAAACTAATATTACTTTTATAAACCGTCAATAAACAACGGTCTAATGACAAGATTTCTCTATCACACGTAAGTTAGTTGAACTTAAAGGAAATGGATGCAGACGATATAAGAGTGTTATTAATTGATTCTCTAGCCGAGTATCCCATACTATTTTTATTTCGTGAAGTGTATTAAAAAAATCCCACTGTGAATGGAAATGAGAGGCAAGGTGTTAAAACGTAATACGTGTTATTAAAAATATTCAATTGTGCAGATAAGCGCAACGACACACACACACACACACACACACACACAGGTCGAATATCACTAGTCGCTATGTATAGATAGTTGCGGTTTCGTATCGTTACAGCTCAGTATAAAAGAGGATGCATTGGATCACAGAGCTATAGTTATTGGAAAGCTGTAGTCTGAAAAACGTTACGAAGATGGCCGCCAAACAATACTTTATCGTGTTCCTGATTGTCGCCGTGATGGCTCTCGAGGCCAGCACTACCGAATATGGTACGTGTGTTTTTGATGCTTGTTTTTATCTAACCTATGTTTCGTTTTCCATTTAAAATAATCACCGAACCTATCTTATTTTACTTCCGCCAAATACAATACAATATAATGGTTACAAGTATGGGAGCCATAATATAGTGATTGTTACGGAATTAAGAGGGTGGTTGTTTTGAGGTCAGTGTGCAAGTTGCGCGGTAAAGACCCCGTTTTTTATTGGGACCCCTTCGACTTCATGTTTCAAGGTAATGACAGCGTTCATGTCAGCCAAGAAGCCCTTTACATTGAGAGAGCGGTGAGTTCGTCTGCCCATCTTAGTTGATTCAGCGTTACGATCTACTAAAGACGCCTTTGTTGATACGACCGACGACATCGACGTGGTGAGGTCGGTTGGACCGCCGCCGCAACTTGTTACGAGAAGTATCGTGCGCCGAAGAACAATGTACATTCTAAACTAATTCAGACCGTTTCTTGGGTATTGCAGGATGCCCTGAAAATGCCCATTGGACTGATGACCCCTGCGTGAGGACCTGCGACGACCCGTACCTGACTAACACCGCTTGCGTCGGCGCCCTCATTCAAACCTGCCACTGTAACGACGGCTTAGTCTTCAACGCGGACAGAAAATGTGTGCCCATTTCTGATTGTTAAAATGTCATAACGATTTATAATCTTTTTTCGTGATTTTATTAAATGTTCAAATTGATGTCTTTACTTTTTCTTTCTAAAATTCATTTGATCAAATCTATCTATCTATCTATCAAACTACAGAAAGCTCAATAATGTTTTGTTCTATTTGCCTTGCCTTAAAGCAAAGTTCATCCTAACATAGAAGCTCGTAAAAAATTCCGCACCGAATTTGAAAGCTTAAAGATTATGTTAAAATCAGATATTTACTATTGTTCAAAGTACGAAACAGTAGGTACATTAATTAGTTTTATTATAGACTAAGCGATAAAAAACATTGTAGAAGGATCGCTTTTAGACCTTGTCGTTTATCATACCCGATCCGGTGGACCAAATTAATCCTACAAAAACTCAGGTTATTATTATAAATAGTGTTACAAAACTACCCGTAAAGCCGAAAGGGGGTAAAATGGGTCCTTATGACGTCCATTCACAATTTTTTCCCCCCTACCTATGCTGATAGCCTTGAGAGGCTATATCAGCTTCTCCTTAACGTGTAGGTGAGCTCACGTGGCTCTAACCGGGAGTGTTGCTAACACTGGCCCTAACAAGAGCAGTGCCTCACAGAATCTACCACCGGATCGGAAACGTGACCCTCTAAGAATATATGACGAGAAACTCAGTGGACTGTGTCTAAGGGCTAATTCACTCGTCCAGCCCTTCGTCGCAAGCGATGGGTTCGACGAGGACGGTGACCGGTGCTTGTGGTACCTAAAAGCACCGTTAATGGATCGGGAGGATCCGTAATGATGTGTTTAGGGCGACGTCGACTGTTTACCATTCGGTCTACAGGATCGGGTATGTAATTCCTGGCGGCCACGACAAGAGGGTTTTCATGTCGTGCTGCCTTTTCAAAGTGGCGCAACGATGTCGACTGTAGATACTTACTGACTGAGTCAAGTGGAGATCCACGTTCGTTAGGAACCATGGGGCTCCGACGGCTATCCTGCAAAAACGGGATTGAATAACTTGAAGGGGTTTCAAGTTGGTGCCGTGGCCGCCGCCGTTGGCCGCGTGAGCGAACAGTACGCTTGCATACATGCGACGGGGCGAGATACTTTTTTTTTTCGGGCCGGGGTCGAATTTCCTACGGGGTCCCCGCGCCTAGGCGGCGCGCGGGGTATGTGGGACTTGACAAACTATAGGTGTTGGGAGCAGACCGCGGACCTAAGGAATTTTAGGGCCCTACCACACTAAACGACTTCCCTGGACTCTTACACCCGACGTCCGATCTCCGTCCGGGGTCAAAACCCGGTCAGAGTAAGGGGGTTCCCGCGGTCAACACTACAACCAAAAACGCGGCGCTACCCCGAGGACGCCCGACCGACAGGTCGTCGAGGCGATAGTCGACGACCAACGACGCCGGTCGCCGCGGTACGGCGGCCCTACCAGGCCACCCGGGCGATGCCACTGGTGATCCGGAATACCCCGCTGGGTCAGAACCTGCCTGGCAGGTCAGAACGCGATACACCACCGGGTTGCTCTTCCGCAGTCTGTTCGACGACAACAGCGACGACGACAACGCGGACCGCTTCGCAAGCCGCAGCCGCCGACGCGTCATCCCATCCTTCTGGTCCCAGCGCGCTAGAGTGATGGTAACGTGCGGCGCAGCCTCAACCCCCCCAGGTCACCCCGTGACCATCACCGGGAGGAGACTGCCTCCTCACAGGGGCCGGAGCTGGACGAATGCCCTCCTCCAACCCCCAGCACGGCGGTGGCACGGCGCTGAGAGGGAAGAAGAGCTCTCCCTCTCCCGCTCCGCCGCCTCCTACTGCGAGACGGTGGATTCGCAGAAGTCGAGCATCACCTGCTAGGACTGGTTGCTGCTGAGCATCGTAGCCACGACGTTCGGAAGCGACAAGTCCGGTCCTATTTTTGCAACGAGGACGCGGCGCTGCTCCGCGAAAGCAGGGTAGTACGCAAGCGTGTGCTCCGCCGTGTTCTCGTTACAGCCACTACAGTGGTGGCACTTCGGCGTCGGCTCCCTCCGGGCGACGAGGTGCAGGCGACCAAAACAGCCGTGTCCCGTGAGCACTCGGAAGGTGAGACGTCCTCGGTCGCGATTCACCTAGTCCGAGAGGTCCATCGCCCATAGGCGGGTCCGCTAGGCGGCGAGAACACGCCTCGAGCATGGCACGCCGAAATTGAAGCTTCCGCGCTCGAACTTCCACCGCGCCGGGACGCGGCTCCCCCCTGGAGCGGAGATTGCATCACCACGCGTAATCCGCAGCGGGCGCCTCCGCTTCCAGCTCCCAGGGAGGCGTCCCGGCGAGCACGCACGCCGCCTCGAACGAAACGGTGCGGTACCCGCGAACCGCCCTGACCGCAATCTTACCGCGTTCTTATCCAGGATGATTATCGACCACATCACAGGTTAAATACTATCGCGAAGCAATCGAAAGTGGGATGTTAATTAAAAAAATCTTATTTCTTTTCTTCATATTTTTTAATAACAAACGGCCGATAATTAAGTACTAAAATTAAGTTTTTGGGAAACAAAAATGATGAATTTTGGAAACGAAATACACAAGTCGGATTCACTTGAAATAGCCACCGTTTTGTTTTGGACATTCAGCAACAGGCACGCAGTTTCCTGATTTGTTGAAGAGGAAGCCATCATCACAGTGGCAGGTTGCGATGAAAGCCGTCACACAACTGGTGTGTTTCAATTCCGGGTCTGCACAGGTCGGCGCGCAGGGGTCCATTGTCAAATGGGCATTCTCAGGACACGCTGTAAAATACGAGAAACAGATGCACTCAATTTACATGATCTCACACGAGCTCACATTGTCGACGTCGCCCTGAACACGTCATTACGGATCCGCCCGATCCATTAACGGTGCTTTTAGGTACCACAAGCACCGGTCACCGCCCTCGTCGAACCCGTCGCTTACGACGAAGGGCTCGACGAGTGAATTAACCCACAGACACAGCGCACTGAGTTTCTCGCCGGATCTTCTGAGTAGGTCACGTTTCCGATCCGGTGGTAGATTCTGCGAAGCACGGCGTTATGACATGTGTTCCTTCAAACGAGGTATGCGGAGAGTACTTGGCGGTAGGCAGCGGCTTGGCTTTGACCTTGGTATTGCTATCGTCTACGAGCAATGATAACCACCCACAGCTAGGTGAGTTGGCGTCTACAAATGCAATAAAAATACTAGTGTTTAATCTGTAACTTTACCCTTGTCGAGCACGACGAAGTAAATCGTAAATACTCACGGTTTTCGAACCAGCTCTTACTGGCTGTGAGAGCCATCAGAGACACGATCAGGAACATGATGAAGTAATGTTTGGCGGCCATCTTAACGATACGTTGCGAACTATAGCTCGATAATTCGTGGTGGCTTTTTTATGATCGGCACGAACGCGCAGCTTAGTTCGGTTAGTGAATTTAGTGATGTTCTGTGTTTAGAATTTTAGTATAATTTTAATATTAATGCATGAAGTATGTAGGTGATTGTATTGATCAATTTATTTTTGTACTATTTCAAGAGAACTCGTCACGGCCTAAAGGATATGACGTCCGGTGCATTCGTATCTAGCGATGCACCGGAGTTCGAATCCCGCAGGCGCGTACCAATTTTTCTTAACAAATGTTCACGATTGACTTCCACGGTGTAAGAATAACAGCGTGTAAAAAAAATCCAATCCGCAAAATTATAATTTGTGTAATTTATTAGTGGTAGTAGGGACCTTTTGTGAGTCCGCACGGGTAGGTACCACCACCCTGCCTATTTCTGCCGTGAAGCCGTAATGCGTTTCGGTTTGATGAATGGGGCAGCCGTTGTAACTATACTGAGGTCTTAGAGCTCATATCTCTATCAAGGTGGGTGGCGGCATTTATGTTGTAGATATGTATGGTCACCGGTAACCACTTAACACCAGGCGGTCTGTGAGATCGTCCATCCAACAATGCATTAAAAAAAAAATTAAAAAGTTTTCTGTAATATAAATAGGTACGAAAACAACATTTAAAACCCGCAATATCTCTATATAAATTAATATTTTAAAGAATAATAATATATTATGTAAAATTATATTATTTCTACGCAGCTACATGTGAAGGAACAACATCGTGTTACAGAAATTAAAATCCGTCATATTCTTAAAACCTTACTAAACCTAATTTGAAGATTCTATGCCGCTATATAAAAATATTGCGTTTTCGACCTCATATCTCGAGGTGGGTGGCGGTGATCATGACGTCTGGACTCCAGTAGCTCCAATACACATAGGACCTGGATTCACCCGTTTAGAACAGTTCATAATAACCATCTGAACTATAATAAAAAGTCATGTACCTAAATCATGTTCTCAACGACTGTTGAAGCGACATATGGCCTTGCTTTATTGTTCTTAATTAAAAAACATTACCGTTCCGTACCAAATTACATAGATAAAAGAAAACACTTGAACAATCACACCGACAACGGACAGACACGGAACTAAAATGAAATTTTAAACGAACACAATTAATTGGTTATGGATCTTTCAAAAGATACTTTCAATATTAAAATCATTAATTTGAAAGCAAAAATGTAAAATGTATTTTTCCTTCTTTATAAACGAAGATACTGAAGTAAAATAGTTGCTCAAGTGTTAAAATTTTCCGCTTTGTTCGATATAGTAATTAGCATAATAACGTTCCAACTACGATGAGAACGCTAAAAAACTCGCAGCGACGAGCGAATTAACCCATAGACACAGCCCACTGAGTATCTCGCCGGATCTTCTCAGTGGGTCGCGTTTCCGATCCGGTGGTAGATTCTACGAAGCACTGCTCTTGCTAGGGTCAGTGTTAGCATCACTCCGGTTTGAGCCCCGTGAGCTCCCCTACTAGTTAAGGTTACGCTGAAATAGTCTCTCAAGGCTATCAGCTTAAGTAAGGGAAAAAAAATCGCACTAAGCAAAGTAAGCACACTGATCCAGAGCATCTCACAACACATGTTTTTTTTTTATTGTTTATATGGGTGGACGAGCTCACAGTCCACCTGGTGTTAAATGGTTACTGAATCCCATAGGCATCTGCAACGTAAATGCGCTACCCACCTTGAGATATAAGTTCTAAGGTCTCAGTACAGTTACAACGGCTGCCACACCCTTCAAACCGAAACTCATTACCATTGATGTATTCGCATTACTATTACAATTCTTGAAGCACATTACGTAGCAGGGGCTCAAGTACAACTAATGTATTATTCATCAATACTTGAATGTTCGACCGAGTACCGCCCAATGGTTTATCGTAATCGATTTTTTGAATAATAAACTATGACACAAAAATACAAGCGTGCTTAAGTCGTAAAATGGAGTTTTAACTAAACTAAACACGACTCGCAAAAATCATTGCTTACAATAAAATAAAAATAAAATATTCTTGTCAGTTGGGGTGTTTGGATCGAAATTATTAAGAAAAATATATAATTCATTGTTAACATACTTATTTTATTTTACAAAAATCGGATATCATCAAAATCCTGAATACTTACTACATATATCGGCCAATTATACCAACAGCCACGGTAACCATTTATTATGAGTTGGGCCAGTATTGAGCAACAAAAACGGCTTATTTATCAGGTTCTCTTAACTCTATCTAATTAAGATCGCACGTGTAATAATCAATATATTTTTTTTTTTACCTGTTGGCAACATTAAGATTGCATTGTTTTCACACCAGAAACTTTTTGGAAGTATTCTTGGGCATTAGCTGGCGTAGGTGATTATTCATTTTTAATCTATGTAATGAGGCTTATTATCTTTTTAACTGCGTATCGAATGATGAATAATGGATTTAGTGTTTACAATTTTAATTTATATACCAATAGCACCCCTATTAAGTATACACTAGATGATGACCGAGCTTTGCTCGATTTTTTTTTTGATAACGCCATCTTGTTGTGTCTTTAAAACGGTTAGTTGCCCTCAATTATGAAAAAAAGTATTATTATTCGCCAATAGATGTCGGGAAGAGTTGATTATTGAAAACACGAATAAAACAACATTTTCTTTAAAAAAATCGTAGCTAGGTCGATTTATCGCCCCCGAAATCCCCTGTATACAAAATTTTATGAAATTCGTTGGAGCCGTTTCCGAGATTCAGATTATATAAGTATATATTGATATACAAGAATTGCTCGTTTAAAGGTATGAGATATAAAAAAACCACGGTTTTATTATCTATCTTAAAAGCCTAAAAAAGCCTTTTATTATCTATCTTAAAATAACCATTTTGTCTCCGGTACAAAAGCCTTTTATTTCTACCATATAATAACCACTATTCTACGTGTATATTGTTGACTCCTCGCAACACTCCCGGTCAACGTCCTGGTCGAACCCGTCACTTGCGTCAAACGGCTCGACGAGCGAATTAACCCATAGACAGAGCCCACTGAGTTTCTTGCCGGATCTGCTCAGTGGGTCGCGTTTCCGATCCGGTGGTAGATTCTGCGAAGCATTGCTCTTGCTAGGATCAGTGTTAGCATCACTCTGGTTTGGGCCCCGTCAGCTCACCAACTAGTAAAGGTTACGCTGAATTTATTTTTATTGCTTAGATGGGTGGACGAGCTCACAGCCCACCTGGTGTTAAGTGGTTACTGGAGCCCATAGACATCCACAACGTAAATGCGCCACCCACCTTGAGATATAAGCTATAAGGTCTCACGTATAGTTACAACGGCTGCCCCACCCTTTAAACCGAAACGCATTACTGCTTCACGGCAGAAATAGGCAGGGTGGCGGTACCCACCCGCGCGGATTCACAAGAGGTCCTACCAGCAGTAATTACGCAAATATAGCCTCTTAAGGCTATCAATCAGCTTAGGTAGGGAAAAAAAAGCAACACTCTATAGTGATCCTGTTCTTCAGGTCCAACATCAGTACGAGAAAAATCAAAGCAAACACTGAATGGAGGCGCCCAGTTTCAAATTGCGTTACTCAAGGGCTCCCGTGATCGCTCAAGGCCAGACCCTTCTCGTACAGACCGAATATATACTCATATATACGAAGAGAGTCTGGTTCGAAGCGATCTTCTGCGATCTTAGATAAGTCATTCATTCAATTGGTTTGTTCGCGTTCCGCGTTGCTATTGTGGCCGCGGTACATAAATACACATACTGTATCTTGCAATATTACGTACAACCGGTAAATAGTATAAAAAGCGTTTGAATTTGTCATTTTTAGTTTAGTATCGTGCAGAGCGTCTAGAGAGGAAGTTGGTATAAACTACGCAGCGATGGCTTCGAAAAATCTGTTTGTATTGTTTTTCATATTCGCTTTGTTCGCTGCGAATATTGCAGGTTTGTACAATTATGTATTTAATTTAGTTTATAATTTATTCGTATGAAGTTTACGATTCAGGTTTTCAAGAGTCGTTGTAATGTTGAATAGCTTTATTTGTCTTACTTCGATAAGGCTATGCGTCATGATAATCGCCTTATCGTTGCCGCCGCTGATTACTCCCCGAATCCTGATCACGCAGGAGCAAGTCACCGTCGTCGCCCTAGACACGTCCTTACGGATCCATCAGATCCAATAACTCTTGCATTAGATACCTTCAGCTCTAACACTAGGAGCAGGCTGAGGAACCCCGGTAACCGTNCTTACGGATCCATCAGATCCAATAACTCTTGCATTAGATACCTTCAGCTCTAACACTAGGAGCAGGCTGAGGAACCCCGGTAACCGTACTCGTCGAACTCGACAAAGAGGTCGACGTGCAACCTAACCCATGCATCAGCCCGCTGAGTTTCTCGCCGGATCTTCTCAGTGGGTCGCGATTCCGATCCGGTAGTAGATTCATTCGCGAATCAATTGCTCTTGAGTTGTTAGGTCTCCTTTGGAAGCGCTCGGGCAGTTGTTAGCAAATCCCACCCCTCCTGGCTGAGCCTTTGCTCGCCCACCTGTCCTGGTGAAGCTGGAAAGGCCTCCGGGCCACCAGTAATCTTTCAATTATAAAAAAAAAGCTTTATTTGTGAAATTAACCGTAGGATCCATTTAATTTACGTTATTTGAAGTTTTTTTTTAATAAATTCGTATCGCTGACTTCGCTTCGACTTCGTCAGACCAGTCAACGTTTATTTCTCTGGCCAATCGTAGGGTACTGAGGAGCCAAATATTATAGGCATCAAATAGAAACCAAGCCAAGACCACGAAGACTGGGCTCGTTACAACATTTTTATTTTTTTTATTTCATTTACTTCAGATCTTGCATCCATATTACATTCATTAACAATAACATTTCACATAGAATACAAGCCCACTGAGTTTCTCGCCGGATCTTCTTCCGTCAATCGTCTTGCTAGGGTCAGTGTTAGCATCACTCCGGTTTGAGCCCCATGAGCTCACATACACATTAGGAGGAAGCTGAAATAGCCTCTCAAGGCTATCAGCTTAGCTAGGATTTTTTTTTTAATAGAATACAATAATCCCCGACATATCTATAAGCGCTTCCGAAACGTGGACAGTTCGAGAAGTGAAAAAAATACTTTTTGGAGATGTGATGTTTAAGAAGAATGCTTAAGGCTTCATGCAAAGAGTTTTATACGAACATTTCGATAATTCAAGGACTCGACGTCGATTTTATTTTTTTATTTTTTTATTGGACCGTCGCGTCGGTCTATCGTGAAATTTCCTCCACTTTCCAAAACAAACCTTATTTTTTTTTATCATTACATAGATGGGTGGACGAGCTCACAACCCACCTGGTGTTAAGTGGTTACTGGAGCCCATAGACATCTACAACGTAAATGCACCACCCACCTTGAGATATAAGTTCTAAGGTCTCAGTATAGTTACAACGGCTGCCCCACCCTTCAAACCGAAGCGCTTCACGGCAAAAATAGGCGTGGTGGTGGTACCTACCCGCGCGGACTCACAAGAGGTCCTACCACCAGTAAATCTGTTTCGGTCTTGGACACGTTTCTGGATGTAGATATTCAGGATATTCCGGATATAACCGGTCCATAGGACGGAAGGATGAAGCGCGGAGGCATGGACGCTACTATACCGCTTAGATAAGACTTATTTATTTAGTTTTTTCCTCATATAGTGCATATTTGTAAAGTTGAATCATCTATATGATTATGTTAATTATTTGAATTCATATTCACTGTTTGCTCAATGCTCACGTGTTTTGTTAATGACGGAAATTTGTTTAATGTGGGTTGTACGTAGGTTAAAAAAGGTTTTTTTTTATTGCTTAGGTGGGTGGACGAGCTCACAGCCCACCTGGTGTTAAATGGTTACTGGAGCCCATAGACATCTAAAACGTAAATGCGCCACCCATCTTGAGATATAAGTTCTAAGATCTCAGTATAGTTACAACGGCAGCCCCACCCTTCAAACCGAAACGCATTACTGCTTCACGGCAGAAATAGGCAGGGTGGTGGTACCTATCCGCGCGGACTCAGAAGAGGTCCTACCACCTACCAGGTATATATAGACTTTGTTTCCCAAGTAAATATATTACGTAGCTTAAAACTTATACTTGATGTAGTTCGTAAGTACGGTTTATATATTATATTATTAGGTACATAAATATTTTACAACTTGTACCTATCTGTGGGATATGAACAACGAATTCTTTCTTTTATCATCACCAGCCCACAGACGTCCACAGCTGGACATGGGCCTCTAACAAGGCTCGCTAAAATGACTGGTCTTGCGCGACCTTCAGCAGATCGTCGTTCTACTCCGTAGGAGGTCTACGCTCTGTCTTCTGGTGCGCGTTTGCCATTCGAGAACTTTTCGGCACCAGCAGCCACCTGGTGTTCGATCACTACCACTTCAACCCCTTAATCCTTCCCGCTACCTCAGTTATGATGGTTCTCCGGCGCAATATCCTTGTACCTGTTTCGGTTACGCAGGAAAATCCCTTTTGTTATTTGTATTGTATTATTTGTTCTGGCGGTAGGACCGTCTTGTGAGTCCGCACGGGCAGGTACCACCGCCTTGCCTATTTCTGCCGTGAAGCAGTAATGCGTTTCGGTTTGAAGGGCGGGACAGCCGTTGTAACTATACTGAGACCTTAGAACTTATATGTCAAGGTGGGTGGCACACTTACGTTGTAGATGTCTATGGGCTCCAGTTGTTAAGATTTTATATGGAAGAATAAGCAGACTCTCTTTATTATCACAAATTATATTTTATTCACACGACACAATCTTATTAAGTAGAGAATGTATCCATGGTAACGAGTCAACATTACTAGTGCGGTGACACGCAGCTAGTGCTATATCTCAACACTCCTCCTAAATGATAACTTGATTTACAGTTATTATTTAATACACAACTATATCTAACTTAACTAAACAAACAGTAAACTAACTAATTATGAATTAGCACAAAAACTTATTAATGCATTTATAAAACTTGTCTGTGCTCAAACTTTTAGTCATAACATCCGCTAAATTTTCATTGGTACAAATATGTTCTATGCTGATCACCTTATTGACAACCAAGTCTTTTATATAATGAAACCGTATGTCAATGTGTTTTGTACGCTTAGAGTTCTCGTAATTCTTGGCCATTGATATTGCACTTTTGTTGTCAACAAATAGCACGGCATTTACATCACAACCTAGGTGCTTACATATGCCTTTTAAATTAACAATTTCCTGTGCTAATGATGCGGCGGCTACATACTCGCTTTCAGCAGACGATAAAGTTACGCATTGTTGCTTCTTTGAAAACCAAGCAATGGGGTTTTGCCCTTGTAGGATAATACCACCGCTAACACTTTTTCTGTCGCTTTTATCTCCAGCCCAATCGGCATCAGAAAATCCGTATAAATTATTGTCATTTGTCTTTTTAAATAATAATCCTTTTTCTTTTGTTTCTTTCAAATAACGTACTACTCTTTTTCCAGCTTTCCATAATTCTTCGTTCGGTTTATCTAAAAATCTGCTCAGATATGACACTGCAAATGTTAAATCCGGTCTTGTTGTTACAGTAAGATAAATTAAACTTCCTATTAGTTCTCGATACGGTACGTCCAAAACTTCTGTATTGTCCTTTATTTCTATATTGTAATTTCTTTCCATGGGAGTTTTAATTCCGTTACATTCATCCATTTTGAATTTAGTCAATATCTTTTCAATCATTTTAGTTTGTTTCAGTTCTAATGTATCTTTATTTCTTTTAACTTCCATTCCGAGAAAGTTCTTCATTTCGCCCATATATTTTGCGTTAAACTTCTCCTTAAGTGCTTTAATAATATCTTCCCCGTTTCCAATGATTAGGATATCGTCCACGTAAATCAGCATCCAGCAATCTTCTTTGTAATACAAACAGTAATCATATTCTGATCTTTGGAATCCCTTAGCTTTCGCAAATTCGTCAATTGTTTCATTCCAACATTTTGGTGATTCAATCAATCCATACAATGCTCTCTTTAGTTTTAATGCTGTATTATTATTTTTTATTTCTAATCCTTGTGGTATTTTGATAAATACATCAGACTTTAATTTTCCATTTAGGAATGCAGTGGGAATATCTAGCTGAATAATCTTTAAATCATCTTGTACAGCTTTTGATAAGATCATTCTTATGGTTGAATGTCTAGCAACGGGTGCATAAACGCTGTCAAAAATATCTTTTTTCTTTTGTTGGAAGCCTCTAGCTACCAGTCTTGCCTTTTTTGTTCCATCTTCTTTTAGTTTAAATATCCATTTTGTATCAATGAGCTTTCTTCCATCGGTTATTTCTTGTTCTTCCCACGTTTCTAGTCTTTGGAGTGCATCTAGTTCTTTATTGATTGCGTTTTTCCATTCTGGTTCTTTTATAGCTTCTTCGAAAGTTTCTGGTGCATTTGCACTCAGACATATAACAATATTAGTTTCATTTATGTTTTCTATATTCGTCTCGTAATCTTTAAGATAAGCAGGAGGATTTATCGTTCTTTTGGGTCTGATTATTGCTTCTTCAATTTGATCAGTGTTCATTTCTGCATCTTTAAATTCATCTTCCTGTTCTACAATATCTTCCTTTTCTTTATTGATTTCTTCATCTTTGTCTTGAATATATCTTACTTGTTTCACTTCTTCGTTATTTTTGAATTTAATGTCGCTTTCATCAAATCTTACATCTCTGGAAATAACTATTTTATCTTCTTCTGGATCCCATAATCTGTAACCAACAGTTCCATAACCTACCATTCTTGTTTCTTTTGCTCTCTTGGCAAACTTGTCCGGTTTGGGTACTATAGTAGTCCAAGCTTTGGAACCAAATACTCTCAATCTCGATAGGTCGTTTTTACCAAAAAATATTCCGCTGGGTGTCTTGAAGCTTATGGCCCATGATGGCGATCTGTTTAATTGGTAAACTGCACATTGTATCGCTTCGCACCACAGATATTTTGGCAAATTGGTTTCCGCTAATAGAGTCCTTGTTTTGTCGCATAATGTGCGGTTTATCCGTTCTGATATGCCATTAAGTTGTGGCGTGTATGGTAATGTATATTCTAAACTAATACCTCTATTTATGCAAAAACGTTTCAAACTATTAGCAGTGTACTCTCCACCATTATCGCATCTAATTCTTTTAACTTTATTCCCCGTTTCGTTTTCAATTCTTAATACATAGTTCATCAGTCGTTCTGTTGCTTCAGATTTGCTCTTCAGGGGATACACTACGCAAAAATGAGAGAAATCGTCAATAATTGTCATAAAATATTTTTCACCATTAGGTCCTTGATGTCTGATCGGTCCTGCTATATCTGTGTGAAGCATCTCGGCTGTCATTTTTGTTCTAGGCCTTGTGATAGGCGTGAACGGGGTTCGGGTGGCTTTGCCACAGGGACTGCAAATTCTATCAGATACAGGTAAGTTTAGTATATTAAGGCTTTTCCTATTTAAGTGACCTAAACGTTTGTGCCATAGATCTGTCGTATCAGTAACATTACAAACTTCGGACTTACATAATTCGGCTTGTAGCTTATACAATTTTCCTTGCACGGTGCCGCATAAAAATGTATTTTTATTAAATATTTTAACATTGTATTTATTAAAGTTTATGTTAAAACCTGCCTCGACAATCTTTTTTACTGATAATAAATTGTATGAAACATCTTTCACAATTAGAGCATCAATATTAATCGTAGTATTTTGATATTTTACTTTAAGTTTACCTCTTTTACTAGTTGTAATACATTGGCCGTTAGCTACGAATATTTTGACTTGTTTATCTAAGTACGTAATATCCGTCATATAATTTTCATATTTTTCATTTATTAAATGCTCCGTACATCCTGAGTCTATGATTAGTTCTATGTTACCACATTCACCCACATTAGCAATAATATCGCTAGCAATGAAACCTATTTCTTTGTCGTCTCTGCCTGTTGCTGAAGTATGTTGATACGTTGTATGTCGTGAACTTGAATTTCCTCTAAATGAGCGTCCACGCGATCTTGGATAGCTCCGTCCTCGTGTCAATGACTGTCCTCTACTCGGCCCTTGTCCTCGTCCTAATCCTCGGCATTCGAATGATTTGTGTCCACGTTTTCCGCAGGAGTGGCACGTGATGAAGGCATTATTCTCATAACTTTCACTATTTCTGTCCATTTTTAACTTTGTCTCCATATCGAGTAGTCTTGCTTTAACAAATTCTAGATTCAACTGTTTCTCGGATGCCATAGTCTCAATTGATGTAATTACTTGATCGTATATCTTTGGTAAAGAAGACAGCAGATAGCAAATTTGGTCTTCTACATCGACGTTTACGTTGATTGCCGCTAATTCGCTAAGAATTCCTTCAAATTTTAGGAAATATTGCTGTAAGTTGCTTTCATTATCATAGCGCATTGTTATGAGTTTCCGTTTTAAATAAAATTTGTTACAGACTGTTTTTCGTTCAAATATGGCCTCCAATGACGTTAACATTTCTTTGGTCGTATTCGCATTTTTTACGATGTTAATATATTTGTCGCTCAGACATTGTACCAAAATTGATTTTGCTCGTGAGTCATCTTTATCCGTCGGTTTCTCTTTTAATAATACATTGCTTAATTGCTTTTCTTCCAGCAGTAATTTCAATCTAAATTTCCAATGACTAAAATTTGAATTTTCAGTCAAAATCGGCAGAAGAGACCCCGCAGTTGTCATCTTTCTTTTTTATAATTTTCGCCGATATTATTTCTCGTGGATCGCAACCCAATATATTTTTATTTACTTACTTCACGCGATCTGCTACCATGTTAAGATTTTATATGGAAGAATAAGCAGACTCTCTTTATTATCACAAATTATATTTTATTCACACGACACAATCTTATTAAGTAGAGAATGTATCCATGGTAACGAGTCAACATTACTAGTGCGGTGACACGCAGCTAGTGCTATATCTCAACACCAGTAACCACTTAACATCAGGCTGTGAGCTCGTCCACCCATCTATGAAATAAATAAATAAATTTTGGGTTTAGAAGGTGGAGGAAATTTCACGATAGACCGACGCGACGGTCCAAATGTTGTTATTAGGAACTTAACAGGCGTCTGTCTTATCTCTACATAGTATAAAACAAAGTCGCTTTCTCTGTCCCTATATCTGTCTGTCCCTATGTATGCTTAAATCTTTAAAACTACGCAACGGATTTGGATGCGGTTTTTTTTTTTAAATATATAGAGTGATTGAAGAGGAAGGATTATATGTATAATAACTTCCATTCGAACTTCCATTCTCGAATAGTTGAGAAATCAATAATAAATTACAGTTTCCGATGCGAAGCGAGAGCGGGTCGCTAGTGTTCTATAATGAATATCGCCACACGGCCAATTATTTTTTTTATTCAGCGATCACGATCAGTGGTATTCGTGTAGTATTTGAAATCTCGTTAATAATATTGATCAATAATAAAAAAAGGCGATATTAAATCGTAAAAACGGTTTAATTAACGACACCCGAGAAACGGGGAGAAGTTTGTTTTTTATAAATAAAAAAATTCATATACCTAACGAAGATAAGACAACACTATCAAAAAATGGCGTCAAAAAGATTATAAGCTATCTTTTTCCGATGATGATCCGAAATACTATTTGTTTTTTTTTTTTTGTTTTTTGTAAACAGCTAGCTATATTAAGAAAATAAACTGAAACAATCTATTTTTGCAAATATTCTGTAGATTTTAATCGTAAGGTTGAGAGATTGGGAATTAAAATTTTCGTATACAGGTTTTTGTTTTTAGCCTTAATCCTTTTAGTTTTTAGCATTTATCAAGGATTAAGGCTAAAATTGGTTCGCTCGATTGAAAAGGCTGTGATTCACAATAACTAACTGGATTTTTTTTTCAGCTCTACAATGTCCGAAAAACAGTGAGGTTCGTAACAACCCCTGCCCAAGAACTTGCAATGACCCTTATGGCCAGAACAGTTGCATAACGGTAATAAGAGAAACGTGCCACTGTAAAGGCGAACTGGTTTTCGATTCGGATAGTATCTGCGTTCCCATATCCCAATGCTGACCGAGTAGATATCCGAAATAATTATACAGCGGCGGCTTTGGATTAACTTTTTTTTTTTATTTACATTATTTTTGCGTGCTTAAAGGCGATTTCCTTTCTTGTTTTATTGATTGTAACGAATAAACATTAAATTTTTTTTAACTCCTCAGTTCATTTTTATTTACTTTATTTATAATTCCAGAAGATTCCAAGGTTATCATACAGGTTATCACGATCACCTTTCAACTAACGGAGGTGTTTTTTATGTTTGATTTCATCATTGATTTTGCTTTCGTAACCGCTACACCAGAAGGGCCTCTATTCACTATCTGTATAAATCTTCCGATCCATTAACGGTGCTTTTAGGTACCACAAGCACCGGTCACCGTCGTCGTCGAACCCATCGCTTGGGACGAAGGGCTCAACGAGTGAATTAACCCATAGACACAGCCCACTGAGTTTCTCGCCGGATCTTCTCAGTGGGTCGCGTTTCCGATCCGGTGGTAGATTCTGTGAAGCACTGCTCTTGCTAGGGCCAGCGCTAGCAACACTCCGGGTTTGAGCCCCGTGAGCTCACCTACACGTCAAGGAGAAGCTGAAATACTCTCTCAAGGCTATCAGCATAGGTAGGGTGGGCTGTGAGCTCGTCCACTCATCTAAGCAATAAAAAAAAAAGTTAAGTTGATAACTTGGTAAATAGAAATTAAACAAGAAAAAGAAAAACCTGATTGAATCTTATTATTATTATTATTATCGAGCAATTATCTTTAAACGAGAAATTCTTGTAAATTAATATATAGGTACTTATATAATCTGAATCTCTGAAACGGCTCCAACGATTTTCATAAAATTTAGTATACAGGGGATTTCGGGGGCGATAAAGCGATCTAGCTACGATTTATTTTCAGAAAATGTTGTTTTATTCGTGTTATCGATAATCAACTTTATGACTCTTCCCGACATCTATTGGCGAATAATAATAATACTATTTTTCTTAATTGAGAGCAACTAACTGCTTTAAAGGCACAACAAGATGGCGTTATCAAAAATCATCTAGTATTTAATAAAATCACGAATAAGGCTATAAATCGTTATGACATCGTTTAACAATCCGAAATGGGTACACATTTTCTCTCCGCGTTGAAGACTAAGCCGCTGTTACAGTGGCAAGTTGGAATGAGGGCGGCGATGCAAACGGTGTTAGTCAAGTATGGGTCGTCGCAGGTCTTCGCGCAGGGGTCCTCAGTCCAATGAGCATTCTCGGGACACCCTGCAATACCCAAGAAACGGTCTGAGTTAGTTTAGAATGTACATTGTTCTTCGGCGCACGATACTTCTCATAACAAGTTGCGGCGGCGGTCCAACCGACCTCACCACGTCGATGTCGTTGTTCGTATCAACAAAGGCGTCTTTAGTAGATCGTAACGCTGAATCAACTAAGATGGGCAGACGAACTCACCGCTCTCTCAATGTAAAGCGCTCCTTGGCTGACATGAACGCTGTCATTACATTGAAACATGAAGTCGAAGGGGTCCCAATAAAAAACGGGGTCTTTACCGCGCAACTTGCACACTGTCCTCAAAACCACCACGCTATTAATTCCGTAACAACCTCTATTATGGTTTCCATACGTGTTACCATGAAATTATAATATATTCATTATAATTATTGTATTTAAGTAGTAATTATTGTAGTAATTAGTAATTATTGTATGTATTTATTGTAAGTATTGTATTTGGCGGAATTAAAATAGATAGGTTCGGTGATTATTTTAAATGATAAACGAAAGATAGGTTAGATAAAAAAACACAAGCATCAAAAACACACGTACCATCGTCAGCAGTGCTGGCACCAAGAGTCATCAGGGCGACAATCAGCAACACGACAAAGTACTGTTTGGCGGCCATCTTCGTAAGTATCTCAGTATATTTTTCAAACTACAACTCTCGAATAACTATAGCTCTGTAATCCAATGGGTCCCCTTTTATACTAAACTGTAACTAAACAAAACCGCTAACATAGCGACTAGTGATTTTCAATGTATGTGTGTATGTATGTGTGTGTCATCCGGCTTATCTGCGTAATTGAATAGTTTTTATAACACATATTACGTTTTTTTTTTTATTGCCCTTGTAGGCAGACGATCAGACGGCCCATCTGATGGTGAGTGGTTACCGTCGCCCATGGACTTCAGCAATGCCAGGGGCAGAGCCAAGCCGCTGCCTACCGCATTTTAACAAATTGTCTCTCATTTTCATTCACAATGGGTTTTTTTTAACACACGTCACGAAATACAAAATTGTATAGGATGCTCAGCTAAAGAATAAATTTATCGACACTCTTATCTTGTCTGCATCCATTTTTCATAAGTTCAACTGACTTACGCGTGGTATAGAACTTTTGTCATTAGACAGCTATTTCTTGAAAGTCTGTAAAAGTGATATCAATTTGTTATCGGCGAAAGCATGCCCATATCTTCAGATAGAAAGCTCATCCAAGCAACACAACCTCAGATCTAGTTTAATAAAAATGAAAACCCGCAAAATGATAACGAAACCACCTTGCCTGTTTCGGCCGTAAAGCAATAATGCGTTTCGGTTTGAAGGGTGGGGCAGCCGTTGTAACTGTACTGAGACCTTAGAACTCATATCTCAATGTAGGTAGCGGCATTTTACGTTGTAGATATCTATGGGCTCCGGTAACCACTTAACATTAGTTGGACCGTAAGCTCGTACTACCACCTAAGCGATAAAAAAAAAGAGTGACCTTCACAAATGTACTGATATGAGGAGGCCAGGACGAAAAACATTTGAAAAGCAAAATAAACACAAAAATACATGCTCATTAGAACCAAACCGTGATAACAAACACGGATTCCATGTGGTTTTTTCAATTAAGCACTTGTTGACATAAGTTTTTATGAGCTCTAAAGATTCTAAATCTAAGCGTGGGGATTCACCTGCAGTCCAGCAGTCAGTCAGTGTTGTTATGTAATTTCATCTCGATCTGATACACTCAAGGTTAGCAAGTTGTTTTTCTTATATGCAAAATACTATGTTATTAAGTCAGTATTTAAATCCATCTATATATATAAAAATGAATTGCTGTTCGTTTGTCTCGATAAAACTCGAGAGCGGCTGGACCGATTTGGCTAATTTTAGTTTTAAATTATTTGTGGAAGTCCAGAGAAGGTTTAAAGGGTAGATAAATATGAAAATGCATTTTGTTTTCCCTTTGATGTGTCCCCCGTCGGACGGATTCCTTTTGTTTGTTTTTATTTTATTTTATACAAAAGTTTAGGTCTTTTATTTATCGATTGAGGCACTATGAAGTCTGCCGTGTCGCTAGTACTTAATATAAAGCTGAAGAGTTTGTTTGTTTGTTTGTTTGAACGCGCTAATCTCAGGAAGTACTGGTCCGATTTGAAAAATTCTTTCAGTATCAGATTGCTCATTTATTGGGGAAGGCTTTAAAAGTATATAGGTTATATAACATCACGCTAAGAGCAATATAAGCGGAGCACTAATACAGAATGTTTCAAAATCGGGTTTTTGCGGAAACTCAAAATTTCGAATTGTTCCCCTATAAAAGTTCTAAAAAAAGTCACAGCAAGTCGACAGCATATTATTATGTCTATATTTTAATTAAGGTTGGCTCACTATAACCCTTTTACGCTAACCAAATTTGTTCTAAAATAAAACATTATTTTTGAAGGGGTTTTTATAAAGACGATATTAATCCTTATCCAAAAAAATACTTTATTCATTATTTAATTTAATATGTTAATTTAGCATATATACATTGACATATTTGGTTTTAAAGAAATTTCCCCTCACTTGATTTTAATGAGAATCTCGCTATGAGTATTTTAATGAGCGCGTAAGAATATACAAGAAACACCGAAATCACTTCAAGATAGGCTTTGAAAATTATAGATTTTTCTGGGTTTCTCCAGGATCCCATCATCAGATCTTAATGATTACAAGACCATTCGGAAAGTCTACCCTTTTGAACAAAAAAAGAAAAAAGAATTATCAGAATCGGTTCAAGCATTCTTGACAAATCGAAACATACATAGATAAAAAAATTGTGGTCGAATTGATTATTTCCTCTTTTTGACGTGACAACGTCTTATAATTCGATGGAGCCGGCTGCACGCACGAATAAACATGACTCATTGAGGCGTTCCATTTAAGGCTTGAAGTGCAAGCGAGAGCGCGCAACAAGCGACAAAGAAGGACAATCGGCCTCCGCGTTCGGCAGCCTTCGACATCTATCTCTCTCCTACTTGAGTGAGCGATGCATCCGCATGGACAGCTGCTATACAATAATACATTTACATGTTTTCGTCAAGTATGAAGTTCAGTCAAAAGTGAATGTGGTGTCAATTGTCCATACAAAATATCTATTAAACAAATAAAATTAAAATTTTCTTTTGAAAAATGAAACCATTCCATCAGTATTTTCTTATGACGTTGTCACGTTCAACTATCCGAGCTCACAGCCCACCTGGTGTTAAGTGGATACCGGAGCCCATAGACATCTACAACGTAAATGCTGCCACCCACCTTGAGATATGAGTTCTAAGGTCTCAGTATAGTTACAACGACTGCCCCACCCTTCAAACCGAAACGCATTACTGCTTCACTTGCAGAAATAGACAGGGTGGTGGTACCTACCCGTGTGGACTCACAATACGTCCTACCACCCGTCCTATCTCCCGTCACTAAGTCTAAACAATAAAAAACATAAAGAAACCGTCTGCCCGTGGACATCACAAAATAAATATCAAGATCTCAAAGAAACCTTGAAAATATCAGTTGATAACATATTATCTGTTTTACATTGGCCTTTTGTATTGTTAAAAATAAAACAACAATTCAAATAAAATAGAGTTCTCCGAAACCCATCAAAACAAGTTATCACACATATATCGCCAGGGTTAGAGAAGGTCACGACGCGCGTACAAACAATGTCAGTCGAATTAGTACACACGGATACAAAATTATCTCAATTTATAATAACAACAGCGGTATCCCGCGAGGCGATTCCTTTGAAATTTCGTAATTAGGATTAAAATAAACAAGCTACACTTTCCCGGGATAAAGAGTTACTTTTATCACAGTCTTGTTCATTAAATATTAAATACATCATTCATCATTAAAACATTAAATCATTAAATAGCAGTTATTTCTAACTACTTGGAAACTTTGGAACATGAAATCACAAGCCGTCAAACACAATGTTGTATTTATTGCAGCTGAAAAACGCGGTGTTGCGCGGTTCATATTATAATTTAACTTAATTTAATAAAAAATATCCTAGGATATATGTACACTTACTGTACTCATGTACTTTTACTGGTGGTAGGACCTCATATGAGTCCGCACGGGTAGGTTCCAACACCCCGCCTATTTCTGCCGTGAAGCAGTTATGCATTTCGGCTTGAAAGGCGGGACAGCCGTTGTAACTATATTGATACCTTAGAAGTTACATTTCAAGGTGGATGGCGCATTTACGTTGTAAATGTCGATGGGTTCCAGTGACCACTTAACACCAGGTGAGCTGTGAGCTCGTTCACCCATCTAAGCAATAAAAAAACACTAGGCGCATAATTTCATCTAAATCCATTCGGCCTTTTTGATTGATTTGTTAGTACGAGTCATGGCGGTCATCAGTCGTCTTTTGCGAGGGCACTAAGATATTACAGCAGAAGCAGGTGGCCCGGCGTGAGAGTCAGCACTCTTCTCTCTCTTGTACTGTGTAATATCATAAACCCTACGTTTAAACTTTTCTAGAAGTTATACCACATTTTAATAGTTCACGGCGTCCTTCTGAAATGTCAAAACATTAGTCATTCGATGACATTACTTCTTGTACCCAATTTATTAAGTTAAATGAATCTTCTACACAGAACATCACTAAATTCACTATACAAACACAACCACGCTTCCGTATCGAATATAAGAAGCCGCTGCGAATTATCGAGCTATAGTTCGCAACACATCGTTAAGATGGCCGCCAAACATTACTTCATCATATTTCTGCTCGTGTCTCTCATGGCTCTCGCAGCCAGTAAGAGCTTGTTCGAGAAATGTGAGTATTTACGATTGACTTCTTTGGGCTCGATCAGAATAAAATCTTAAGGTCTAACTAACACCTTCTTCACTACATAGTATAAAACAAAGTCGCTTTCTCTGTCCCTATATCTGTCTGTCCCTATGTATGCTTAAATCTTTAAAACTACGCAACGGATTTTGATGCGGTTTTTTTTAATAGATAGAGTGATTGAAGAGGAAGGTTTATATGTATAATAACATCCATTAAATAGTGGAGAAATCAATAATAAATTCCAGTTTCCGAAGCGAAGCGAGGGCGGGTCGCTAGTGAATTGTTAAAATTCAAATTCGACATTGCAGTTTAAATACTAATTTTCTAGTCCATATCGAAAGATCAATCGACGTAAAATCTTCTCTTTATCTCTAACGCCAAAATGATGTTTGTAGATCGATATAAATTTAGATACGTGCAGGTTTTTGTTTATATGTATAGTGAAGTATTATGGGTTAAAGTATGAAATTGCCGATTTGTACTGAAAAATTGAATTTTTTTTTTTTTTTTTTCATTTAACATTTTATTTAATCAAAATATCTACCATTATCATCTATAAGATACCTCCCGTAGTACTCAACGGAACGCCATTGACAAGAGTTTATAAATTTAAATATCTCGGCCATGTGTTGACCCCTGATCTCAAAGATGATGAAGATATTGAACGAGAGCGGAGAGCGTTGTCGGTTAGAGCAAACATGATAGCTCGCAGGTTTGCACGGTGTTCACTTAAAGTCAAGGTCACCCTCTTTAGGGCCTACTGTACTAACTTTTACACGTGCAGCTTGTGGGCTGGATATACTCAAAGATCGTACAACGCTCTCCGTGTTCAATATAATAACGCGTTTAGGGTGCTGGTGGTGCTGCCCCGCTTTTGTAGCGCATCAGGGATGTTTGCAGACGCGGACATAGATTGTTTTTACGCTACCATGCGTAAGAGGTGTGCATCTCTGGTAAGCAGAGTGAGGGCCAGCTCCAACAGTATCCTGAGCATGATCGCAAGCAGGCTGGACTGTGTATACATGGGTCGCTGTAGTGCCATCTCCCATGGGATGTTACGACAGTAGTTCATTGTGATGTAAATATAACTACTAACATAGGTGTAAGTCTTACAAACAATTTGTATGAGTCATGGTTACTTGCAATAAAAACATTATTATTATTATTATTATACATTGCTGCCATCTAATAGGAGAATCACTTATGTCTTTGTGATAGAACTCTGGTGATCTTGATTCTACAAACTGTGTGAAAGTATTTTGTACTACCTCCTGGGAAGAAAACTTTTTATCGCGTAGAAAATTGTCCAAATCACGAAAAAAATGGTAGTCCGTTGGAGCAAGGTCTGGTGAATACGGCGGGGGACGAATGGTTTCTAATTGCAGTTCCTATAGAGTTAAAACGGTTTCTCGTGCTGTATCTGATCAAAAGATCAATAGTCATACCTATATTTTTTTTTATTACAAATAAATATATAAATCATTATTCCTATGTATATTTGTTTCATAGAGCAATTAGGGTCGCTAAATTCACAGCACTCACACATAGTTTAGTTCCGAAATCACCTTAGTTTATTGATAGTAAATATTTTAACCGACTTCAAAAAAGTAGGAGGTTCTCAATTCGACTGTATGTTTTTTTTATGTTTGTTACCTCATAACTTTTGACTGGGTGAATCGATTTTAATGATTCTTTTTTTATTAGAAAACTGACGCTTCCCGTGTGGTCCCGTTTCAATTTAATCCAGTTCTGGTAATGGTATCCATGAGAAAACCATATAAGTCTTAAATTTGCATTAAGTACGTGCACGACAAATAGATGAATAAGTCAATATCCCGCCAACCGATTTCGATGATTATTGTTTTTAGTGTATATTAATTTTGTTTCGGAATATCTTTTTTTTTTCTATTTGAAGTCGGTTTTTGTTAAAGCATGTCTATTTACAATTTTTTTTTTATAATATGTTAAGCTAAACAATTATCTCTTAGCTTTTACTCTTAACTACCTAAAACCGACCCAACTGGAGGAACTTAGTTAAACATAAAATAATGTTTAATTTTCTTTTTGGTCACTACGGTCACTATTTCTTGTTGTTCGGTTGCTTGTTTGCGCCGTGGTCCTAGCCACCATCTAACCCTCCTGGAGCTTGTAAGGTTTACATGAATGACATTAATTTATAATAATATCAACACAACACATCCATTTAAAAGACATCGAATCTCGTGTCTTAAGATGACATTTTTAGACATTTTTATTAATATTTCAACAAATAGTACTGTTTTTTTTATTATTATCATTATTATTATTATTGTATTCCATTTTCGAGCCGATGAATTGCCAATGCTATGTACGCCATTGTTGTCACATGCATCAGGCCATAAATTAAATAGTTTAAATTTATTTTCAATGTTAGATGTTTGTGATGTGGCAGTACTTATGTAAATAAATAAATAAATAAAGATGGATGGTAACGCAGTAACAAAATCTTTACTGGTGGTAGGACGTCTTGTGAGTCCGTACGGGTAGGTACCACCGCCCTGCCTGTTTCTGCCGTGAAGCAGTAACGCGTTTCGGTTTGAAGGGCGGGGCAGCCGTTGTAACTATATTGAGACCTTGAACCTTATATCTCAAGATAGGTGGCGGCGTTTACACTGTAGATGTCTATGGGCTCCGCTGACTACTTAACAGCAGATGGGCAGTGAGCCCGTCCACCCATTAGCATTAAGCATTATTTTTTCTTATCTAAATTCGTTTTTCGTCTTTTACAGCGTGTCCTGAAAATGCTCACACGACATTGAACCCCTGCGTGCCGACCTGTGCAGACCCGGAATTGAAACACACCAGCTGCGTGACGGCTTTCATCGCAACCTGTCACTGTGATTCTGGATACCTCTTCAACTCGGAGGGAAAATGCGTGCCCGTTGCCGAATGTTGAATATGACGCGGAGGCTATTTTAACTTTTTTCGATTTGTATTTTATTAAAAAAGTTTATCTAACTATAACTAAACTAAACTACACTTGAGACCTTAGAACTTATATCTCAAGGCGCATTTACGTTGTAAATGGCTATGGGCTCCAGTAACTACTTAACACCAAGTGGGCTGTTAGCTCGTCCATACATCTAAGCAATAAAACAAATATCCAAAAATTGAAGTTAAATATAGATACATATAAGCTTACATATCTGCTGTTTTTAATAAAAAAAAGAAATAAAAGATTCAAAGTTTTTCTTTTATGAGAATTCCCATTTGATGGTTCCAAGCTAGAATTTTTTTCTTTGAAATCAAGATGCGTCCTGAATAAGAACGTGTAGACTTTACAGAGAGTCAGGGTTTGTTAAGTTACAGATAAGAGATCTGGTAATCTACTACTAACATAACAATATCTTCGATTCGCGTCGGTTTTGGGCAGTTTCTGCTCTATTGAGCGACGCCAAGTTGTTCTGGGACGGCCTCTCTTCTTTGATATAGTGTGTATAAAATAAAATATAGATACACACACTCCACACCATGCTAGAACAGTCAATTATATGGAAGATATTATTGCAAACCCTTCACTTTAAAAATAAAAATGAACATAATGTATCTTCAAAATAACACCCTTTAGCTTTACTTTAAAATATATTTCCTACTAGCTGACTCGGCAGACTTCGTAGTGCCTCAATCGATAAATAAAAGACCTAAAATTTTGTATAAACTTAAAACAAAAAAAAAGGAAAAATAAAATTGTTATTTTTATTTAATTCCGGGCATTTTCATATTTATCTACCTTTTAAACCTTCTCTGGACTTCCACAAATAATTTAAGACCAAAATTGGCCAAATCGGTCCAGCCGTTGTCGAGTTTTAGCGAGACGAACAAACAGCAATTCATTTTTATTTAAATAGAAGATTACTTTTTCCTATTACCTTTACTGGTGGTAGAACCTTTCGTGAGTCTGTACGGGTAGGTCCCACCATCCTGCCTATTTATTCCGTGAAGTAGTAACGCGTTTCGGTTTGAGGAGTGGGGCAGCCGTTGTTACTATACTGAGACCCTAGAACTCATATCTCAAGGTTCGTGGTGGCATTTACGTTGTAGATGTCTATGCGCTCTGGTAACCACTTAACACCAGGTGGGCTGTGAGGTTGTACCACCCACCTATGCAATAAAAAAATTTATTAAGTTTTATAGGGAGAAAGACTATAATATTATTTGTCGAGCAGTTAATGCCGTAAATATAGAGCCTTGGGAACGTGTGAGCTCCAAAAGATTCCGTGAAAGATGTTTGATAATGTGTCGATATGCTGCGTTAAAGACTACATGTGTAAGAGGAGAGTGAGCGAAGAAATGGTATATGGTATACGGTAGGCAGCGGCTTGGCTCTGCCTCTGGCATTGCTGAAGTCCATGGGCGACGATAACCATTCACTATCGGGAGGGGGCGTATGTTCGTCTGCCTACTTCTCTTCCTTGCGTCATGTTCCTCATTGCTAAGGGTCACGACCACCTTTTTGTATCACCTTCGCACGATCTTTCTCCATCAATTCTTGTCTCTGGCGTCTGCCTACGAGGAGAATAAATAAAAAAAAGAGTATGGGAGGAGAAGACATGTTGCGCCGAACTCTGGTGACTGGGAGAAGGGCAGGAGAATGATGGATGTGTCCATGTGCTGTAGCTGGTGCACGCATGCGGACCCTTCCCCAAACCTTTCTACGTCAATTCACCACTGCCTTCAGAGCAGGGAGCCCATGCAGAGGCACTGGGGTTCGCCTCCAAGCCCCTTCATAGCCACGCTATACGACTTTTTTTTTCTACATGAGCTGATAGCCTTAAGAGGCTATGTCAGCGTAACCGGGCGTGTAGAGGAGCTCACAGGACTCAAACCTGACGTTGTTGCTAACACGAACCCTAGCAAGAGCCGTGCTTCGCAGAATCTACCACCTGATCGGAAATGCGACCTACTGAGAAGATCCGGCGAGAAACTCAGTGGGCTCAGTGGGCTTAGTGGGAGGTACGACGACCCCTCTCGTCTTGTCTTATCGCAGCCTGAGTGTATTTGTTTGTTCTAATTTACGTATATGTTATTCTCTGAACGTTTATTTAAGCTAGTTTTCGCTCAATTCTCGAAAGTCAACCTTAACTCTGACATTTCAACGTCTAGATTCGTTACCCTATTATTTTTTCTTTTTTAAATATTGAAGAAGCATAACAAACCGCTTAGCGCTTACTATATATACTATTGTGTGCAGTTATAAGATTTTTAAACAATAAAAGGTCACGAATGCTATAAATAATGTGTAACTTTGTATCCACAGAAACGACACAAACTTATTCTTCAAATTGTTTATTTATTTTATTTAATTTATCGCAAACATAATCTCCGTACACTGTGTTAATTTTTTAGTCAATGACATTTTCTTACTATACAAATCATGAACAAATGAAGTTTTAAAGTATAGAAATAGAGTGCTCTAAGGAATTATTTGAGATGATACCACCATCTCGTCTTTACCATCGCACCGCCCGCCACCGGAGAAGAGTTCATCCATACTAACTGGAGCCACTGCGTTCATCCACAGTGCGTTTCCAGAGGTATTTTTTACCACGTACCATAAGGCTTTGGAATGAGCTCCCCTCCATGGTGTTTCCCGAGCGCTCTGACATGTCCTTCTTCAAACGAGGCTTGTGGAGAGTATTAAACAGTAGGCAGCGTCTTGGCTTTGACCCTGGCATTGCTGACGTCCATGGGCGACGATAACCACTCACCATCAGGTGGGTATGTTCGTCTGTCTATACGGCAATAAAAAATAAATATATATACATATTTTACTTACACAGTTATACATATAAATACATATCCAATTATCCGATCCTTACTGGTGGTAGGACCACTTGTGAGTCCGCGCGGGTAGGTACCACCACCCCGCCTATTTCTGCCGTGAAGTAGTAATGCGTTTCGGTTTGAAGGGTGGGGCAGCCGTTGTAACTATACTTGAGACCTTAGAACTTATATCTCAAGGTGGATGGCGCATTTGCGTTGTAGATGTCTATGGGCTCCAGTAACCACTTAACGACAGGTGGGCTGTGAGCTCGTCCACCCATCTACAAAAAAAAATAAAAAAAATAAAATATAAAGCCGTCTCCCTTGGCTAGGTTCTGTCACATCCGACGTCCAGTCCCGGATTGTTCTGGGATTTCAGATATTTCGACTGTTACACATATGCCCCTAGTCGCTCTCAACGCGTAGGTCGAAGTTCAGCGATATCTCTTCACACCAAAAAAAATGTTTCTTTTAAAATGTGTGTATTAAGTGTAGCGAATGCTCTAGAATGTTTATTACTATGCATTGATGTTGGTAAAGTAACATTAGTAGGTTGTCGGTAAAGCATACCCGTATCTTCTGTAATAAAAACGATCGGACGAACTACGATAACGCAAAATCTAGTGACTTTCAAAGAATATGCTGCTAAGAGACATAAAAAAAATTTGAAATCGAAATAAACTAAAAAAAATATGTACATACTCATTAGAACCAAGCCGTGATAACAAACACGGATTCCATGTGGTTTTTCAATTAGGCACTTGTTGACATAAGTTTTTATGAACTCTAAAGATTCTAAAGATTCTAACTTCTTTACTGGTGGTAGGACCTCTTGTGAGTCCGTGCGTGGTGGGTACCACCACCCTGCCTATTTCTGCCGTGAAGCAGTAATGCGTTTCGGTTTGAAGGGTGGGGCACCCGTTGTAACTATACTTGAGACCTTAGAACTTATATCTCAAGGTGGGTGGCGTATTTACGTCGTTAATGTCTATGGGCTCCAGTAACCACTTAACACCAGGTGGGCTGTGAGCTCGTCCACTCATCTAGGAATAAAAAAAAAAAGCGCGGCGATTCACCTGGTCCAGCAATCGATCCGTGTTGTTATATAATTTCATCTCGATCTGATACATTCAAGGTTAGCAAGTTGTTTTTCTTGCGTGCAAAATACTATGCTATTAAGGCAATATATAAATGTTTGATAGATACGATTAATGTTATTCTTATGCGGACTTGGGTAGCGAGTTCACGGCTCGCCTAACGCTATGTGGTCACTCACAGCAATACATAAACTATACGCGAAATCGTCGTGGCTTAAAGGATAAGACACCCGGATCACGCGGTTTCACTATGCCAGTATTCAATCTAAGACATAGAATTGTAACTGGTGGTAGGACCTCTTGTGAGTCCACGCGGGTAGGTACCACCACCCTGCCTCTTTCTGCCGTCAAGCAGTAATACGCTTCGGTTCGAAGGGTGAGGCAGCCGTTGTGCTATAAAAACTGATACCTTAGAACTCATACCTCAAGGTAGGTGGCGGCATTTACGTTGTAGATGTATATGGGCTCCGGTAACCACTTAATACCAGGTGGACCGTGAGTTAGTTCACCCACCTAAGCAATAAAAAAGCAACTCCTCTCTCTTTTTAGCCTGCTTATTAACGATATACGCCGGTCGTCAGCGAAACAGTTAGCCCTTTTCGGATGATACGGCTATCTGCTGCTAAAGTAGAAAGATGTCGTTCATGCATAAGAAACCTCAAATCGCGACTACCAATTTAGGACAGTGGTACCGGAAGCGGCGCATTGACATCAACCCTCACGAAAAGCACAGTCGTGTTCTTCAAAAGGGGTCGCCTGCCCGACACTACTACTAGTATCTCGTTACGAATTGGGCGCGGTCACACCATTCCCACTATAAAATCTGGCCAGCCCCTGCCGTGGGTTTCTAAGCTAAGTACCGTCCTAGGTACCTAGGTACTGTATCTAGGGCGTTATCCTCGACTGAGGGATGACATTCGGGCCCCACATTAAGTCAGTACGCAACCGCGCCCCCTCGTTCGACTCTACCCCATGATCTGCAAGCGAAGAAAGTTGTCTCTCTTCGCCGTAATCGACGAGTTTGACGAGAATGGCCAAACTATAGATAGAGCCTATTGAATTTCACGGCGGATCTGCTCAGTGGGTCGTGATTCTAGGGGTAGATTCTGTAGAGAACTGCTCTCGCTAGGGTTAGTGTTAGCAAA